TAATCCCTTCACCCTGCCTGGCTTCCCACTCACAAGGGCCTCTAACTCCCACTGCCTGTTCCCTACTCCACGCTTCTCTCTTTGCACATGCACGGGCTCTTGCCCAAGCACGTTTTCCCACACGTCGTGAAACAGGCTCAACACGTGCGCGAAGTGCTGGCGCTGTTGGCGCGCCCGTCGCGCTGTCGAACGCGAGTGGCGCAGTTGCTCAGCGAGCCCACCTGTCGTAGTGGCCGCGCCCGAAATTGGTGAGGCCCCGACCAACGCTGTCACCGGCCCTGCTGATGCCTACGCCCACGCCTTCGCCCGCGCTGCTGATCGCTCCGCCCACGCTGCGGAGCCCCAGCCAGATCCCGAGCGCGAGGGAGATTTGGGCCAGGACCTCCAGCGCATCGCGCATGGCGGGTCGTAAACCGCGTCCAGGCGAAAGCAATTGCGCCGGGGCCGTGACACTGAAGGCCCGTTCGCACTGGACGTGAGGTTACGTGAGACTCAAGACGTAATGCGCGAGGTTGCGCGCGTTTTGCGCGTACCCGATTATGCGATAGGCCCTCTCAATACCGGCAATTTATACTGCACGCGCCCGCGTGTCTCGTGCGGCCACTGCAGATCGAAGCTGCACAGCAGCAGTGGCACGGGAGCGCAAAAAGCTGCCCACAGATGAAATAGATAAGCTGTTCTGGGTCGCTCAAATGCTTGTATGCGGGCGGGTGGTTGTGGGGCCACCAACATGGCGGTGAAATGAAAAATAATTTTTCAATAATTTTTCAGGCTTTGAGCAGCTCCCGGCGCTTGCGCACTGCGCGTGTCATGGAACGCGCAAGGGAGGAGCGTAACTGCATGCGAAAATTCTGTCCGTTTGAGGAGGGGTGTTAGGTTGCTGAGGTGGAGAGCACGCCACAAGTGGTCGCTGACAAACTGGAGCTGCTGCTGCTGTGCACGGGCGTTCCACAGAGGGTCTAGCGCAGCTCATTTGCACGAATTGTGCAGTGCTTTTACATGATCAACAGCACCGGCGCTTGCAGCCGTGCCTCATCCACGCGACCCCTGAACCACGAGCACTGGCAACTTGGTTGTTGCTGTCACTCCACCAACTGCTTGGACACTTGGCAAGCAATGAACGCCGTTCCACCCAGCCAAGTCAGCTTGCCATTGCTTGTGGACTTGAACCCCTCATTGCTCGTACATCGAATCTTAGTGATTGACTGGTTGTCCACCCGAGCTCTGCGAGATTAGGTGGCGTGTGACCTGCTCCAGGCTGCGCTGCTGTATCACACGTGCAACACTCCACGCGGCTCCAAGATTGGCCAGACACCAAATACTTTGCATTATTACCTCACTGTGCCTTCTCATGCTGCTGGATCCCCGCGACTAAGCCCAGACACTGTCCCTGTGTGGGCCGCACACTCGAGCAAGGTTCTGTCGCGACACGCGTCCGGCCAGTGGAGCCAACATGCACAGTGGTCACACGCGCAGAATGGGGCCAGGGGTGAGCCCACTGGGTGC